CTCTCTCTCTCTCTCTCTTTCCCTCTCTGTGTTTCTCTCTCTCTCTCTCTCTCTCTCTCCCTTTTCCTCTCTGTGTTTCTATCTCTCTCTCTCTCTCTCTCTCTCTCTCTCTCTCTCTCTGTTTCTATCTATGTCTCTCTCTCTCTATATCTCTCTCTCTCTCTCTCTCTTTCCCTCTCTGTGTTTCTATCTATGTCTCTTTCTCTTTCTCTCTCTCTGTTTCTATCTACGTCTCTCTCTCTGTTTCTATCTATGCCTCTCTCTCTTTGTCTCTCTGTTTCTATCTATGTCTCTCTCTCTCTCTCCGTCTGTCTTTCTCTTTTTCTTTCTCGCTCCTTCTCTCCTTTCTCTTTACTCTTTTTTTTCCTTTCTTACCCCCTCTCTCTCTCTTTTCCTTGTCTTTTTTTTCTCTTTTTCTCTCTCCTATCTCCAGCTCTCCATCTCTCTCCATTTCTCTCTCTCTCTCTCTCTCTCTCTCTCTCTCTCTCTCTCTTTCTTTTCTTTTCTCTTCGCTCTCTCATTCTCTCCATATCTTAGTTTCCATCTCTCTCACTCTCTCTCTCTTTTCTTTTTCTTTCTTTCTCTATGTCCCTTTCCCTTCCTGTCTTTTATTCTCTTTATTTCTCACTTGTTCTTCTTCTTTCTTCTGTCCCACACTCTCTTCCTCCATTTCTTTTTCTTTCCTTCCCTATCTCACAATCTATTTTCTCTCTTTTATTCTCTCCATTTCTTTCTTTCTCTTTTTACCACTCCCTCTTTTCCCTTTCTCTCTCTCTCCTTCTATCTTTCTCTTTTTCTTTCTCTCTCCTTCTCCCCCTTTCGCTTTATTTTTTTCCTTTCTTTCTTACCTCCTCTCTCTCTCCATCTCTCTCCATCTCTCTCTCTCTCTTTCTCTCTCTATCTCCCTATCTTTATCTTTCTCTTTTTTCCCTTATTTCTTTCTTTCTCTCTTTTCTCTTTTCTCTTCTTCTCTCTCTCTTTCTCTTTCTTTCTTACTATTCTCTCTCTGTCTCTCTCTGTCTCTCTCTCTCTCTCTCTCTCTCTCTCTCTCTCTCTCTCTCTCTGTGCAGTTTCATCATCTCTTCTCTCTCGTCTCTGTCTGAGCTGAGATGATTTGACCTCTTCCTCCTGTTCCGTAAGAAAGAGGAGAACCATGAGGCCACGTTCCTTATCAATATTTCACACGGAATCCTCAGGTTGCCCTGGCAACCGCATTGAGCAGAGTGTGTGTAAGAAGTGAAGTCTTTGAAGGAATGGAAGAAAAGACAAAGAGGAGAGAGCAGAGTGTGATTGGAGCGTTTAGCTCTCGCAAATGTTGAATAACGTTCAGATATTTTGGGATCTCGTGACGCCTTTGTCTTTAATAATGATCATTACTGAGTTTATTCAGTAATAACTTACACAGTGTAGATTATAGTATAATAAACTAGACTTCAAAAGAGTATGTTTCTGAGTATGATTTATTGAGTGTTTAATTTATTAAATGGTAAATATTACAGTACACTGTGATTGTCTGCACAAGCAGTTTCAACTTAACTGCCTTCGAATTTAAATTTTATTTAGTGTTAAAGTAAGTTAACAGAACGTAGGACAGACTGTTCTGATAACTCACCATTACAGATTCAGTGACCTTAACTAGAAGTTTCACGTTAAAAATCGATCAGATCACCATTTGAGGCGTCCTAGGAATTAAATTTTAGAATTGCAATTTTTAAAAATGTTTTATTATTTTCATATTTTTATTAAAACTTTTTTGTTTTCATTCTAGAGGTTAATCTGATTATAGAGAATTATTCTGGGTGTTAATTTAATTAGAACTTTTTTGTGAATATGATTTTTTTTAGAGCTTTTTAGGATTTTTTTTTTTTCTTTTTTTGTTAATTTTATTTTTGGTTATTTTTCTTAGAACTCATCATATGAATTTGATTGGAATTTAGAATTCTAATAGAATAGAAGTAAGAGAACTAATAGAATTCTGGATGTTAATTTTATTATAACTTTTTGTGAATGTGAATGTTATTATAATTTCATTCTGGAGGTTAATTTTATTACAACTTTTTCTGGATTTGAATTTTATAATGACTTTATGTAAGATGTTAATTTTATTAGAACTTTTTTATGGATATTAATTCTATTAGTACTTTAATCTGGATAATAATCTTATTAGTACTTTATTATTATAATATAATATTATATAATTTAAAGTTAATTTTCTTAGAACTTTTTTTTGGTGATTAATTCTATTAAAACCTTTTTTGTGAATATGAATTTGATTCGAATTTAGCATTCTAATAGAAGAAAAGTATTAGAACTAATAGAATTCTGGATGTTAATTTTATTAGAACTTTTTATGGATATTAATTCTATTAGTACTTTAATCTGGATAATAATCTTTATAATTATATAATTATGGATGTTAATTTTATTGGACTTTTTTAGGAATATGAATTTTATTAGAACTTTTTTTCTGGTTTTTAATTCTATTAAAACTTTTTTTGTGAATATGAATTTGATTCGAATTTAGAATTCTAATAGAAGAAAAGTATTAGAACTAATAGAATTATGATTGTTAATTGTATTAGAACTTTTTAGAGTTCTGATATTAATTTTATCATAATTGTATTGTGGATATTAATTTCATTATAACTTGATTCAGGATGTTGATTTTATTAGAACTTTTTTGTAAATATGAAATATATTATAATTTTCATTCTAGAGGTTAATTTAATTAGAACATCATCCTTTTTTTTACTTTCTTTGGGGAAATGATTGACACTCCATTCTTAATGTTCTACAGCTTTCTCAGCTAATTCAGGTTCATCTGCAGCCTGTTTATCATTCTGGACACAACCAAACTCTTCTGTTTAGCAGCTTCTCACTAATTCTTCGAGAGCTGTGAAGCTGAACAGAACTAACATATTGTTATTGTAGTGTGTTCATTTTCAGCCCAGTTGGTTTCGTATGATTGAAAGCACTGATTCCGGAGTTTTGAGTGATGGTGTGGAGCGCTCTGTGAGCTGAATGGTGCGTAAAGGCGAAGTTATACAGCTGCGCCTAATTTATTATCAGCGTGACTCGGGCAGCAGAAAATGAACTTCTGTGTTTACTGTCTCAGCCAGCCTCCGTACTGAATACGCAGTTTCAATGAGCTTTGTCTTTCCTTCTCTCCTGTTTCTGGCATCGGAATGGAATGAATTTACTCGGCCTTTCCTCTAAATTAGTCTTGATTCAGAGAACAATGCAGGTCGGCCGAGAGAGAATTAGTGCTTAGTCAGAACAAGAACAGACCTAAATGAGTTCCAAACTTTCGGTGTTTGTATTTGCCCTGGAGGCTCCGACTGGGCTTTAGGGTTTCCATGTTGTTCAGGCTTTAACCCTTAAAACCCCAAACTTTTTGGATTTTTTATTTATTTTATTTTTTTTGGTATTTTGGGTCAATTACAGTTACAATTGCAATGATTAAGTATTTACATGAGACAGTGACACATGCCGTGTGTTGTTATTTTCAGAAGACCCTGGGCTACTCAGATATGCCATTGTTTGACATGTAAATGCTAACAGAATTCTCCTTTTTGGGTCATTTTTGAACAAAATGTACCTAATGCCTGCTAAATTTAGCGATTTTTTGCTTATACAGATCTTGAAAACAAGTTGCAACTTGGATACCTTTTCAGAGGTTGTTAGTCTGGAGTTTCTGTGAGCTGAAAGTGCAAGAATTCTGATGGTCATTCATTCTGTTGGTTATTATGAGTAAAAATGAACAATTAGCATAAGGCGGGCATGTTTTTTATTGATTTTCTTAATTATTATCTTAATCTGAAACAAGAAACTGACAAACACTAAAAAGTTGCAAAGCTGAACTTCTTGTTTGAATTTACCCGTTCCACCTTAAATGGTGCAGCAGTTACATTCAGGCTCCTCAGGCACCATTTAAAGTGGAATAGGAAAATTCAAACGCGAAGCTGGCGAATGAGAAGCGACTTCAGCCTCAGAAAAAGTCAAACGTTAAGAGACATTTTGCAAGAAACTATTAAACTTTTAGAAAAGTTTCCTGCCGGAGATGCGAGAAAAGCAGCTATAGCTGAGCTAAAGCTTAAAGCAGATCAAAGTAAGTCTGTGTTTTTGTTTATATATATTTAGCCTATAGTAGCATATCAGCACATACTGAGACATATTTACAGCCAAGATGGTAAAACGGACATAAAATGTTGTGGCTCCCAAGGTGGTTTGATTTTTGTTGAAAGGACAAAATGGCTCCTCTTAACATTTGGTGGTCACAGGATGCTGCCCATAGAACACTGTTAGCTATATATTCTTGGTTGGTGGACTATTCTCAGTCCAGCAGTGACACTGATGTTTTTAAAACTTCAGCACAGTGCATTGGTTGTACGTTACCTATTGCAGTGCATTGTGGGATTGTTTGAGTGCACTGGATCTGTTTTTGGACTCTACTACAAAATGGTGGAGCCTCAAGTTAGTATATAGTATAGTATATACAGTATATTCTATATAGTAAACAGGACACAGTTTCAGATGCAGACTGTATATTCTAACCCTAATATTAACATCAGCAACAGAAAAGAAATGATTTTGCTCTTTAATTTAAAGAAAATGAAGTTTTGAGCTTTAGATAAAAGGCCCAAGCCATCCTGACGCACCCTCCCCCCACTGTGAGAACACCTCATCCACACTGGAGCTGAAACTCCTGCCAAACGCAGCGCACTGCTCAGAGGATCTGGCAACCCAGCTGACTAATTGCACTGTCCTCCCTCCACACCTCCTCGGCCTCCTCATCTTTTTGTTTCTTCCTCTGGGCCTCAATGCTTTCTTCACCGGATGATTAATTTTGGTGGTTTTTATCCCACCAGAAACTTCTTCCCTGCACAAAAGACTGTTGATGGCCATGCTTTTCACCACTATTGTGTCTGTGTGCTGCTTCAGTGATTAACAGTCTCTCTCTCTCTCTCTCTCTCTCTCTCTCTCTCTCTCTCTCTATACAGAGCCCAGCTCACACTATGTGATCTCCCTTAAGGCCTTCAATAATGCAGGAGAGGGAGTGCCCCTCTATGAAAGTGCTGTGACCAGATCAATGTCAGGTACCTCTCCTTCTCTCTCTCTCTCTCTCTCTCTCTTTCTCTCTCTCTCTCACACACATCTCACACCCACACACACACACACACACACACACACTAACACACACATACATCCTTTGCTGAGTGACTCAGAATGTTTTCTAACCTTGACAGGTGAAAATTTTTACTATTCCACCTGATTTTTTTAACCCTATCACTCATCATATGTGACTCACAGGTGCCGCATGATTTAAAAAAAATTGAAAAAAAAGTGAGGAATTTAATTGTATTCAGCCACATGTTGGATAGTCAGTTCTGGATCACTCCAACTCATCCCAAAGGTATTAGATGGAGCTCCATCACTCCAGAGAACACAGTTCCACTGCTCCTCAGCCCACTGCTGGGTGGCTTCATACCTGTCTAGCTTGGCTTTGGTCATGTGACTGATGTGCAGCTGCTCCAGAGTGTCTTGTCAGTGGTTTTCTATGGCAGTTATGCAAGCTGAACACCTGTGTCAGCAGTGGGTGCACCTTAAAGTAATCATCAGTCAAAAGGACTTACACCAGATGCCGTTGATCAGCCTCTTTGGTGTCCACCTTTTGCTTCTTCTTGTGCTGGAGCTAACAAACACTTTAAGTCAATAGTCACCCAAATCTTTTCCTTCCCCACAACGCTCAACCTGCTCAAGCCACATCCAGCTCTTCAAGTTTGCACAGATTTCTTAATGTGGTTTGGGATTCACTGTAGCTGCGTGATCCATGCTGTACCGATCCATTTGTGTGACCGATAGGCTACCAAGGAGGAGTCTTCATAGGACAGTCCTACTGAGGACCCGCACTACCTTGGCTGCAGCCTAGGTGACGCAGCTTTTGACTTACTGTAAGCTATAAAACAAGCTAAACTTCATCATGTATCTGCGGTCAGCCACCTGTAAACAGGTGCGGTGCTGAATTTTGACTACCTGCAAAATCTGACACACTCGTGCATTTAGGCATGTCACAGACACGTTGATGCTACTCAGTTTCTTCCATTTCTATTTTTAAACATTCATTTTCAGTTTGTCAATTAAAGATTAACAGTTATTTATAATTACAAACAACAAAAATTGTGAACATATTTCGTGGAGACCTCCAGTCCTGCGTGACGTACATACACACGACAAGGAGTCGCACAACACCCACTGTGTTGAGCCACACTGTGAAATTTTGTTCATTTTTAGTTGACAGTAAGTTGAGAGAAATTTTCAGGATTTATTTACAGTAAAGACTTGGGTGACTATTGAATTCTAGTGCTTGTTAACAAGGTTAGCTCCGTAGCCCCAGTGCTAAATTACAGATGCAAACTTTGGACAACAAATATGTCTTGGCTGAGTGACTACCTCTGAGGAAAGTGGACAAATTGCACTGTTATAAATTGACAAGATCTGCATCTCAGTTAGATAAATAAAATCAAAAAGGCTTTTTTATTTCTCCACTAGCTGGCACTTCTTCTATCCTCAGACTCACATGGCATATTTTCCTGTAGGGCTTCTGGATATGGGCAGCTGTGGCATTGCTGGGATTCAAACTCACAACCTCCTGATTTTGCAATGAGTTAGTAGACAGCTGGACCACATGAGACAATGCCATGGTTTAAAGTTAAAACCGCAAATATTTTCTTCAGTGTTTTAAACACTTAAAGACACAAAATCTGAGCTGCTTCATGTGTTCCTGAGTGATGCAGTGGACTAAGCCGCCTCCCCAACAGGAGGTTGTGAGTTTGAGCCCCTGTGATGCCACAGACATCCATAAGTGTGAACCCAAGAGGAAAAAATGTCTAGCAGGACTGTGTGATAGAGAGAGTCCTGGCTGGGGGGGCAGCAGAGTATAAAGAACATGTTTGTTTTATTTACCAAACTGAGACGCAGAACTAAAAACTTCTTCTTTAAAGAAGTTTGAGTTGGGTGAACTCTGGTGTCCTCAAGTTGAGTCAACTCAAGAAAAGCCATGTAATCTGTTGCTATATCATTGTGAGTTGAGCTGACCTCTCATTTTGAACAGTGTGTGTGAATTATATTTTTTGTTGAACCGCTCCTTTAAGGCAGCTGAACTCAGTAATTAGGAGTCTGGTTTCTTTAGAGTGTGAAATGTAGCTGCAGCTACGTCTCTCCATCTCCACTGTGTCCTCATTTACCTCCGTGCCAGTGAGCGCAGAGAGAAAAGAGGTGATGAGCTCAGAGCGGAGAGCGAGGAAGCAGCACAGACGCTGCTGAAAACCCTGCAAGGCTTCCTGCTGGGATTGAGTCTTTTCTTCCCTCTCTCTCTCTCTCTCTCTCTCTCTCTCTCTCCGGCTCTGTCTGTCTCGTTCGTTCGCCTGCACAGCCGCTGTCGGAATAAAATCAAAGCCTGTGGCTTGGAGCCATGTTTGTGTTTTGGTTGAATTCGGTGAAGTGTTCAGAAGAGGAGAGTGAGGTGAACGGTGTTTTTGCTCTGGGTGTCCGTGCCGTCTCTGAGGTGCGGGTCAGGAAGCTGGAACCTTTCTTTGGTTTATTTTAGTGCCTTTTTCAGCTTTTGCTCCCACCTCACTAACACACACACACTAACACTCACATATACACACACACTAACACACACAACACCAGATACGCATCTGTATCACACACCTCCTTCAAGATTGTTAATATATTAATATATTATATACATAAAAAATTAAATGAGTAAATTAAATAATGAACAAATGTACTGTTTTTAATGTTGTTATTTGATTAATAGCAGTTTTTGAAAAATGCAAAGACGCTAAATTATTTCATAAGTCTGTTCAGACTGAAGAAAGATTCACTCTTCACTATATTTGGGCATAAGGACCCTTTCTATATACACCCACTGAGCACTTTGTTAGGAAGACTGTACTAATACTGGGTAGGGCCTCCCTTCGCTTCTAAAAACAGCCTCAATTCTTCAAAGCATGGATTCCACAAGATGTTCGAACATTCCTGTGAGAGTCTGGTCCATGTTGACTTGATTGCATTGTGCAATTCATGCACACTTTTCAGATGCACTGTCATGTTTGACCTCATCCCAAAGGAGTTCTATTGGATTCAGATCCAGTGACTAGGAAGGCCACTGAAGAACACTGAACTCATGTTCACAAGACCAGTTTGTGGCGTGGTGCATTTTCATGCTGGAAGTAGCCATTAGAAGATGGTAAATTGTGGCCATGAAGGAAAGCACATGGTCAGCAACTATTCTAGGGTTTCAGTCATGTAAATTTCTGGCTTCACTGCTCCACATGAACGTAACTAGAGGTGAAAGATGGCTAAAATTACTCTTCTTACTTTGGAAGAGAAAAACGTTTCCTCGACAAAGTTGATAAAATAGTCTGAGATCCTTATACAGTTTCCCCTGAACTCCTGATTCCACTTAAACTGGAGGAAACCTACCAAATTAGTGTTTTCCTGACATTTATACTGATCTCATACTCAGCTCCTCTCCCTATTCTGGAGAGTCTCTCACAGCATTTAACAGCACAGAAGCCCACCGGCTCTTCACGTCAGGGTGGGTAAAGGATCCCATGGTGTTCATATAGAGGAGAAACACTCTGCCATCATAGGAGGGTAACGACATCAGCTAATTAACACAGATGAGATCAATGCTGGCCTTTAGATAACTTTAGCTGATGTTATCAGCCGAGAGATGAACAGTCACCCCCTAACGGAGCTGCAGACCGCCGGGATAACTTTACTCTCTGTTTCTGATTTAAATGAGGTTTAAATGGAGAAACATAAGCGTTAAATATCAGACTGAATGTCGTGGGTCTGAAAACGACGTCGTGTTTCGACAGACGTGATTCTGTAAGTTTACTGGTTCAGTTAGTTCAGAGTTCAGCTCCAGTCCTGAAACCCTGCACTGCATAACTGTGGTTTCCTGGTTAAAATACCTGATATTAGCAGAAATTGAGATTTACCAGAATAGACTTTGTTTTCCAAGTCTTTAACTGTCCAGTTTTAAAGAGCCTGAGCCCACTGCAGCCTTAGCTTTCTTTTCTTGATTGAAAGAAGTGGACTCCTGCTGTTGTAGCCCATCCACCTCAAGGTTCGACGTACTGTGTATTCTGAGATTCTTTTCTTCTCATAACAATTGTACAGAGTGGTTATCTGAGTTACCATAGCTTATCTGGCTCGAACCAGACTGACCATTCTCCGCTGACCTCTCATCATCTAGCTGTTTCTGTCTGCCACTCACTGGATGTGCTATAAAACAGTATTGTCTGCTGTTAAACAGATATAGTTTAGCTTTACAGTAAAAGGGCATGGATCTTAAGTGAGGCTATTTCTGTGTAATTTATTATCGTTTTCATTGCATTACTGGCCATCTGTCCTATTCACTGACTTGCAATCCAATTTGCAGAGTCTAGCAATGCAGCTGTTTGATAGCTCTAAAGAATCTGGATGTTTCAAGGCTATTTTTGTGCAGCAGTTACGCTTTCCATTCTAAAAGCTGTGAAAAGGAGCTTTTGGAAGGCCTCTAACTGATGGTGATCTCACTGCTTGCCTGTTATGAAGCCAATTTATAGGAATACTCCAGCGTTTTTTACCCTCATCTCTACCCGCTGTATCTGTAGCGTACAGTCCATTACCACAGATAATCATTTAACACGTCCTCCTGTACTCAGAATGAGAACACTTGTTGACCAAAAACACGATTACAGCACAGGTGAATGGGAGCTGGAGCAACTGCCCACTGACTTCCGTTCTAAGTGCATTTTATGTCAACAGAACCAGTTTTTGTGTTTGTTCTACGTACAGAGAAATGATTGTCAGTACTAATGAACTGTACCCTACAGATGCAGTTCAGGTTGAAAGATATGGGAATATTCCTTTAAAAAAGCTGTTAAAGGCAGGAGTATAAGCCCAGTAGGGGTGCACGTGCTGTTTGATCTGATCTAGAGGCAGAATAACGCGTCTACTTTCTTCTTCACACTCTATTTATATCAAACCTCCCTCTTTTTATGTCTTCTTTTTTTCTCTCGCACTTCTCTTTTTCCTCTTTCTTTCTCCTGCATCAAACCCAACAACAGCCCCAACACACACATATATGTGCGTGTGTATATATATATATATATATATATTTGTAAATACGTTCATATAGTATTAATTTGGCCCATATGTATCATAGAAACAGGCAAGACAAGGGAAGTTTATTTCTGTAGCACCTTTTATTCATATATATATATATATATATATATATATGTATATTCATACATACATCATCTAAACTGCTTATCCTTCAGGGTCACAGTGGGGTGCTGGAGCCTATCCCAGCTGTCATTGGGTGGAAGGCAGGATACACCCTGGACAGGTCGCTAGTCCATCGCAGGGCAGACAGACAGACATACACATTCACACCTAGGGGCAATTCTAGCATGTCCAATCGGCCTGACTGCATGTCTTTGGACTGTGGGAGGAAACCGGAGTACCCAGAGGAAACCCACACAGACAAACAGGCAAACTCCACACAGAAATGACCCTGGTCACCCAGCCGGGAATCAAACCCAGGCCATTCTTGCTGTCAGGCAACAGCGCTACCCAGTGCGCCACCGTGCTGCCCTATTCATATATATATTGCTTCCAACTCCCAACAAAGAGAGATGTCACAAGCGCGCACACACACACTTCCCCACCCACACACTCTTTGTCTTTTCCTCCATCGGTATTCCGAGGTGCACCTGCAGGTTGTTGATGATGCAGATATCACAGTATTAGATAAACACTTCATTTATCTATTTCTCTGCCTGATGGAACACAGAGACAAATCATTCTCCAAGAATGTGCATTCATTTCTCAGACAAGCCTTATAGAGTTTTCCTGTTTGATATGCTTGATCAGTGCTGTTTTTGTGCGTTTACCTGTCTGATGTAGCTATAACAAATGGTGAGGAGGGCACAGTGGGCCAGATGTGTGTATGAGTGCAGGTGCAAAATGTGCCCTGATGCGACCGCAATATGAGCCCACAACACGTGATACACAGACTTAAAAAGGCGCAGTGAAAAGATGAAGATGAAGAAATGAAATCCTTTCCAACAAAAACAGTCTAGAGGGATGATATTTAACTCCAGCTAAGAAAGCAGAGATAATACGGACTGTATGCTCATACTGCAGCCGCGTCACAGCATATGTTGCAGCTTGTCTTTTTGTATATGTACCCAAGATGTGGACTCGATGTTACTTTGACTCGAGTCACGAATTTGATGACTTTAGACTTGATTTGAGAAATTTTCACACAATGTAAAGGACAGGCATTTTCAAATTATGTCAAAAAATGAAAAATTTGAGATATGATTGGGTCCGATTTGTGCCTGAAATGGGACCATAAGGTTTAATACATCAGGTTCAGTGTCAGGTGATGATGATAATGATGATGATGATGATCTTACTGACTTTTATATCTGTTTCTACACTAACTGTCTTCCTTCTGCCCTTCTTAGGTGTGCCCTGTAGTTCTAACTGGTAGTCACTGCTTCAGTCTTTTTAGCTCTAGTCCTGTTTATATCTGAATAGAGTGCTGAACTCTCTTCTCTTTTTCTCTATCATTCCATTTTCCCTCTTTATTTTTACCCCTCCTCTTTCATTCTCATTTGATTGCTGCCTGCATGCTCTTCATTTTTCTTGCTTGCACAAAACATACTCTCCCCTACCTTTCAATATGGGTGTGTGTGGGTGCGCGTTTGTGTGCGTGTGCATGTGCGTGTGTGACCACAGACCCTGTCGACCCATCAGACGATGATTTGTTCCATCTCTTTGATAAATTCCCCACCCCCATCCCAGATACGTCCACTCCCATGATCCCCCCTGTAGGCGTGCAGGCCGTGGCGCTGACCTCAGACTCGGTCAGGGTCAGCTGGGCCGACAACTCCATCAGCAAGAACCAGAAATCCAGTGAAGTTCGCTACTACAGCGTCAAGTGGAAAACTAGCCACTCCACCAGCGGCAAATACAAGGTAAAAGAGAGGGATGGGTGGATAGATGCATGGATGGATAGCGCGTTGGGAGGATGGATGAATGGATACATGAATAGACGAAAGGATAAATGGGTGAATATATGGATGTTAATGTGTGGATTTGGTTCTGGACGTGGTGGAGGCACCATGACACCAGCACACTCGTACCAAAAATTCTTCTTTAGTTTTTGTTAAGCTAACTAACACAAGATGGATGGATGGACAGATGTACTAGTGGATAGAATGATGGATGGATGGATGGATGAATGGATGGATAGATAAATTGTTGGATGAGTGTATTTGTGTTTGAATGGACAGACATACTGGTGGATAGAATGTTGGATGGATGGATGGATGAAGGGATGGATAGATAGAATATTGGGTGAGTGTATTTGTGGATGAATGGACAGACATACTGGTGGATAGAATGTTAGATGGATGGATGGCTGAATGGGTATGAATTAATGGTTGGTTGGATGGGTGGGTGGGTAAAGAGAATTTTGGATGAGTGGAATGGGTGGATGGACAGACGTACAGGTTGATAGAATGGTGGATGGATGGATGAATGAATGGAAGGATGGATAAGAATGAATGGCTGGATGGATATGAATGAATGGTTGTATGAATAAGTGGGTGATAGAATGGATGGATGGATAGGCAGGTGGGTGGATAAATGGATTGATAGAGTTGATAGAATGTTGGATGGAAGGATGGATAGATGGATGGATACAAGGATGGGCAGATGAATGGATGGTTAGATAAGATGTTGGATGTGTTAAGTTGGTGGATGTATGGAAAGACAGATAAAGTGATGGATGGATGGATGGATGGATGAATGGGTGAATGGTAGGGAGGGTAGATGGATGGTCTGAATAATCACACATGTGAAATGATGATAGTGTTTTGCTCATTCAGTTCTTATTACTCTTAGTAAGTGAATATGTGAGAATGTGTGTGTTGCACTGAGAGGCATTCAGACATTTAAACAGCCTGCTTTGTGACGTTTGAGCTATATAATGTATGTTTTCCATTAGTTACATAATGAAAATGTATTTTTTTCCCCAGTCGGCAGACACGACGGCACTGAGCCACACTGTGACTGGTCTGAAACCCAACACCATGTATGAGTTTGCTGTCATGGTAACCAAAGGCCGCAAGTCCAGCACCTGGAGTATGACCGCCCATGCCACCACCTATGAAGCAGGTGCTTTATTTGTTCATTAATGAAACATTACATTTGTAATATTAATTACCCCATATAAGGCCAGAACTGACCAACGTGTCAAACTTTCTATTACACTCTAGAAATTAAGAATAACTATGTAGTTACTGAATAATAGGCCTCAGAATGTAATAAGCCTGGTATTTTAAGGGGTTAACCTTTTGAACTCTAGTCTTACTATTCAATTACTAATCCTAAGGCTTATTATTCATTAACTACTATGAACCTATATGTGGACCCTTAGAGTTTAAGGGCAGTATGTTGTCTCTCAAGTTTACTAATGTTGTCCAATTAGGAGCATTAGAGGCTAATTTGGATGAACGTCTCTTTGCAGATATGTTTTCGCATTTGCACTGAAAGAATCAATTTCAGTTTGGTTTTGTTTCTTGTTTTTATGGCCAGCCGTGCTTTAATGGCTTTACCTCATTACCTCCTGAAGGTGATGCTCAGTTTTTCATTCGCCGCCATGGTCAGTCACCATGATGTTTTTTGCTGCTTTTTGGGCTCTGATTACCGTGGCTTTGTTTGACTTTTCCTTATAAATGGTGGGATCTCTCTCTGCTCATTACCCACAGTGCACTGCTGGTTAAACAAGCAATGATCTCAGCTCTGTTTTGCAAAATCCATCATCGTTACATTTCTCCTGCACACAGTGCCTCAATTCATCGTTTCCTTTTCCAGAGCTAATATACAAAGCCTAATTACGGCCGTTTCCAAGGCAAAAACACATGGAAATAGGAAAAAAAAACACATTTCCAAAAAGGGCCGATGTAATTGCCTTTTTATTTGTATTCCTCCGTGATTTAATTTCAAAGCCTAATTGAGGTTTTGTTTCAAAGGTTTCAGGCTAAGCACCTCAAGGCCAAAAGCGTGCCGTAAGCCGGCAGCCCTAGCGCTGTTTTTGCCTGTGGCTTGGGGATATATATATACTGTCAGGCAGCAGGGCATGAATGACTTTGCAGAACTCCTCTATCTGCAAGCTTTTCATTCCGTCATTCTGTCAGCAGCCAGCAATTCTCCAGCCAGCCCGCAGCTTCGTGGACGTGTTCTATAAAGCTGGAATTAACTGAGGGTTTAGGCTGAGCAATTTGTGCAACGCTGTGGAATTGGGACACAGCCAAAGCGCTAATACTGACCCTACTGACTGGATGTATAAATCTCTGACCCCATAACGATTCATTTTGATTGCGATTCTTTGGAAAATGACTCAGCAAATCGTAAAATCTTCAATTTCACCATGATTCAATTTGATTCAATAACGCTCCAGCCCCTTTTTTCCATTTTCCACCTGAAATTACACCCCCGAATCTTGAGGCTTTTTACACAAGCAGTACATAAACTAGAGGGAATTTTATGCTGGAATGTTACTGAAAAGCCTTCAAAGTGAAAACATCTAAAGATATTGAAATGAATCTGTGATAATGAAAAATATGATGAAAACAACAAAACAAAATTAGGCGCTTTCCTAAATTTCATTTGATAAATTATATTTTAGTGACTACAAATTAAAGAGTTCATGTTCCTCAAAACTTTCAGCTTTTGAAGCTTGTGTCATCAGGGGTCTATTTTCACCCTGCAAAATTTGGAGTTGATCCCTCCTACTGACTTGAAGTTATTCAAGCTAATTCAAACTAATGTCATGTGCCTTTAGTAGCCTGTCCAAGTGGCCTTTTTGACTTTTCCAAGTGGCCTCTTGGGGTCTCCAAAGTCCCCCAGCCTTGCCAACATGTAAACAACTCATTTCCACTGCACCAAAAGTGTGTTTTATCTATACTTTATGGCAACATCTTATAACATATCATCTTATAATGACAACCTAACTTCCTCAACAACCTAATGACATGCACCTCTCTATTCACTATACAGCAAATGTGCTTTTCTGAGGCAAGTTTCCTGTTTACATCCCACCTCCTTGGATGCATGTCTCCATAACTTGGTGCCTGATTGGTCTACAGACTTGGCGCATGTGTTGTTGGAAAGCTTAGAGCTATCCAGGCGTATGTGTTTGGAAGCAGAATTCGAAGGGGATGATATTTTAATTATTTTTAATCCATTGCATTTTATTTTGACCGATTGTTTTTTCTAAGTACTGTTTGCATAAAAATGAGGATTACTAACAAATGGACTGAAGGAAAGACACAAGTTTGGCCTCATTCAAAAGAGGAGGCAGGGGTATGAAGTGTTTGTGTGTGAGACGTACCTGTGAGTGGCAGCGGCCATTACGCACAAGTGCTGCTGTGATTCCAGGGAGATCTCTCTTACTTGGAATTACCTTTTTATTTGATTTTACTTAGACAGTCATAGATTTTAGAGTATAATGGGTTTCATCCTCGTAACCCTGAGAGTCAGCCTGTTCGCTTGAGGTACAGTATGTCCTTATTGGCCAAAAAATGGCTTTATGAAAAATATGAACATTCATACCTAATGTACCTATTTTGTCATAAAGGTATTTTGTAATCAAAATATTTATTTCTCTAATGTAATTAATGGTGCACCGGCCAGAAACTGTGTCCGATTCCCCCTGTCACACAATACTACCAAGCTGGGTGAGTGACCGTCCTACCCAACCGTAGAGGCCATTTGTGCTTTTTTTGGACACCTGAGTACAGAGGGCCTCATCAAACTCTTGACCCCCTGACGATAGAACTAGATGGTTGTGCCACTCCAGAGTCCATGTTTGATTATTTTGATACATTTCAGAATTGCCCTCAACAAAGACGCAGTGTCATTACTGTAAAGCACTGCTCTTATGAAGCACCAAAAGCTGTTTGATTGCTCATAGCGCCCTCTGGTGGAGCCTTCTAAACATCTGCTAAATATGAGTGAGTGAGTTACAAACCTAATGGGCTTTGCACTAAGCTTTTTCTCTATGTCTTTGTTTGAAAACGGCTTGAGAATTTTACTTTGGCCACAAAATGAGTGCATACTTTATTGAATATTATTATAATCTATCATAATCAATCACAATTGAGCAGACGAACTGGCAAATTCAGGTCAAAATGAGGCACTAATTTGCACTCTTTTACTACTGACCCCTCTTTTCAAACCCACTCATCTGTCTTTTTCTTTGCATTTGCCAGCACCGAGCTCCGCCCCTAAGGACTTGACCGTGATTGGTCGTGAGGGCCGACCCAGATCCATTCTCATCAGTTGGCAGCCGCCCCTCGAAGCTAACGGCAGGATTACAGGTAAGAATGAGCTCCATCGCTTATGACAGTCACCACCATAGATACTCTATTTTCCTTTTTAAGTAAAACTGAAATAAAAAGTAAAAATGTTTTTCCCTATTCATTCATTTTTTATGAGCAGTTTTGGAAAAATAATATCAATCAAGAATATCATATTTCACATTCCCCTTCCACTCTTCCCTGATACTGTTTCACTCACAAATGAAAGGCAGGAAAGTGATTTATGTTTTCCCATTCACGCTGACTTTACCCCTGTTCACTGTAGTTCTAGTTAAACCCACATACTGATTGCTATTCTGCGTTTACATGTTAAAAGAAACGTGCTGTGCCTCAAAGCGGACTGACAGTTGCATAATGCTGTGGAAACGGTGCCGTGGTGACATCCTGACCAGTGAAAATGGATGACTGTAAAAGGAGAGTTTAGCACACTCTGCAAAATATAGAGCACACCCCAAAGATAAAGCCTTGATTTTCTAACAACATGACAGTGGCGTGTAACAAATACAGCAGAATTTGACCTGCAGGCCATCAGACCTCCATACTTCAATATTTCACACAGATTCAAAGTCAGATTTTTGCTTGAAAATAAGCTTTAAAAAAGGAAAAGAAAATCTACTGCGTGCCACCAAGGATTTTTTTTCAAGATCTTTACCTTATTTCAATTACAGAATTAGGGTTTATTGCGAATCGGACTTTGGCTGCTGATCATCAAGTCATACATCTTTAGTTTTTGAGAAATTTTTGTGTTTGCAGTGGAACATGACCATAACTCCAAAATCTTCCCTAAACGGAGTAAAACAGCGTTTCTAAAATCTCCACCCTGGAGACTGTTTTCAAAAACATCTGTTTTCAGTGAACCAAAGTGAACAAAAGCTCCGTTTTTGTGTGGACGGGAGGCTAAAATGCAGAGAAAAACTAGGTTTTCAAAAACTGTGCGTACTTGTGGACCGACTGCTGAGGTGATCACTGAGATGTTCAGCATCGATGACACCCAAAAAATCAACATCTGATTTATTTCACAGCAGCAGTTGATGGTTAAAAAAGTTTGGAAAATTGAAATCTGGTCCTGGTGGTAGTTTTCCATAGCTGCTCCATTGTAAACAATGGAATCCTATTACAGTCCAGAAAGAATAAAGATAGTGTCTCACTCTCTCTCTCTCTCTCTCTCGCTCTCTCTCTCAGGTTATATTGTGTACTACACGCTGGATAAGAACATGCCTATAGACGACTGGGTGATGGAGCCCATCAGTGGAGACAGGCTGACCCACCAGGTTATGGATCTAAATCTGGACACCGTCTACTATTTCCGCATCCAGGCCAAAAACGCCAAGGGAGTGGGGCCACTTTCTGACCCTGTCCAGTACAGGACATCGAAAGGTACAAAAAGCACCACACACCTGCACAGCTGACATAACAGAATAGGCAGGTAGTGTTCTCCTCCAAGCATGTCGAGCTTTACAAGGATGCTGTGTTAACAGCAGTCTGAAAAGAAGAGGTGGAGCTTCACGTATCTTGGAAAAAGCTCATGCTAGCCTTCACCTTTATTTCGTGAAGCATATATATGGTTTCAGCGTCGCTCCAAAAGTGTTTTGCTGCGTCTCATGGCAACGCTGTATGCTTATTTCCGGTACTGCCATCTGTTTTTGCACATGCGCAGACTGAGAAATACGAAAGAAATCTGAGTAAGAGTTCACATGCAGTGAGAAATCTGATCACTGAGCTAAAATCCAGCTGTCTTTACTGGATTTCTTTTAGAAATCGAATTTGTGGATCTTACTCTGATCTAAGATTTGAATCAGAGAATGCTGTTTACATGACCATTTAAATAATCGAATAACTGTAGAAATCCGATAATGATCTGATTATTGAGTGCATGTAAATGTTAATGTTACATTGTATGTTAATGTTATTTAACATCCTTCTTATTCCTATCTTTTCCTGATGGCTTCAGTCAAATAAATAGGTGTTCTTAGTCTTCTTAGCTTTACATGAATACACTAGTGCATTAGATCAGGATCCTGACTGTCTGAACTGTGCTCAGGGTTTTGAGATGAATTAGGAGCTGTTTGAATTCTCTGGATCTGTCATCTTCATCGGGAGGGTTAAAGACAGAGACCCCCCATGCACTGATACACACTCCTAACCGCACACACACTCTGATGCAAGTCTAATTAATGTGATCTCCAACATCTGCTGCTCTCAGACTCAGTGTGCATGCATTTGTGTGTCTATGTGCATCTGGAGGGGTCTTAGGGGGCTTGTTGAGGTCCCTCAGGTCTGCTGCTTCTCTGCTGTTAACTAGAACCACTGAACAGCAGTCAGGTTTAAAGCAAAGCATGACTGATATATCATTACGCTTACAAAATTGGATCATAATAAGGTGGCGTCTGCAAAAAAATAAACCAAATGTGCATTATATAAACCCACTGATAACATCTTTAGCACTAACATATGATATTTGATATCTGAGGATTTGAATGGCCAATCTGCTGAGGTCACCACTATGTTTGTTACTGTTACTGTTTATTTGAGGTTAAAACCCCAAAAGTCCACTAAATGGCCAATACATTTCTCCTCTTTTGATGTTAACTGGGTGGTCTAATTTGGGTACAGCTAGGGTCACAGCATGTGGCTTGTCCTGCCCAATATAATGCATAACCCACGGCCTTTCTCTTCGAGTCTAGGCATACTTAATGAGCAAAATACAACAACCAAGCGAAAGCTAACCCAGCTTGTGTAATCATACTAACAAGCTGTCTCATCTGCTTATCTGCATGACTGTCATTCATTTGTTGGTTTTACAACTGGCAATGTTAACCTTGCTTGTTTACACATTGTCTGAAGGCACATCAGTTACTAAAATGGCTGTAACTCTTACCCTGCGTTCACACCGACAGCGACTTTTCACTTCTTGTCGCCCAAATCGTTGATCGCTCATCGCCTGTGGGCATTTCTGAACTCGAGTGGACCATAAGTTGCCATGGTTTCTCTGACGCCAAGCACAGATCAAATGCGTTCCCACTAGAAATTAAAATCCTGGTCAGAAATCGCTTGTGTGCTTATTTTGATTTAATCCTGTGTCTGTGCGGTCAGTTTTTAAGGAAAACAGTATTTGGTCTTTGTGATTTACTATCTATTTGTGCCAAAAGCACCGCCTCCATTATTCAATCTCTAGTAGGAACAATTACCTAGGAACCAAAAATGGAGCGCACCATTTCACAGAGGCGGAGATAAAGCGTGTACTAAGCTGCTCAATACTCAATTCCTATTGGTAATCGCCACATCGCTTTGCTCCTTATATGCATAAAGTTAAACTCCGCTCAACTTTGTCGCGTCACTGACTCCGCCCACTTTGTGTCGCAAACGTTCACGCCACCTCCTGTTGTTGGAAATCGCCAGATGTCTCTGAAAATGAATGACCTCCAGCTGCTTTGTCGCATCGTGTCGCTGCCGGTGTAAATGCAGGGTTAACCTCTTAAATCTCAGGCTTATTACATACTAAGGCTTATTATTCAGTAACTACAGGGAGATTCTTAGATTATAGAGGTGTGTAATAAAACTTTGGGTCCTGGACATCTAATGGGTTAACTTCTTTTAGACATCACCACATAAAATCTAGATATTTTAGTGAGATGTGAACGCAGTGGAGTCTATAACAAAACCTGTAGGTGTAAAGACACTCATTTCACCTCCATCTTACATTGTTGGGTTTAGTTTTTGAGAAGCATTGGAGGCTGGGAGTGTTGGACAAAGGGATGTCAATCAACCGCTCATTTGAATACTAGGCCACACCCAGAAAGTTCTCAGATGGATGTGATAAGCAGGTTTTAAAGTGTACTTTATTATTTTTTTTTCATTCAAACTTTGCTGGATGTTTAATATAATCATATTAAAGTATCTTACAAACATTCCTTTATGATTTTATCACTTTAAGAAATGTGAAAATTGAAAACACAGTTGGTAAACTTTTAGAGCCTGTTCAATTATTTGCCAATAAATGTGAAATTAGCTGACATTTTAGCCCCTTAAAATCGGAATCAGCATCAAAGACAGAGCGATCATATCGGCCAGCCCCTGGTTCAGATCAAAGGACAATGTCTCTAATCCCATTTAAGCTGTTAACATTTCAAATCGCTTTGTTTCTTCCGCTCCGCAGCAGCACTGTGATGTGAGTCTCTCACAGCGCTATAGCATTAGCATTAGTATTATAGCATTATAGGCATTACTGATGCTATGGCAACAAAGGTCACGTCCATTTCACCTTCACATAAGAGACATCACAGACAGCTTTAAACCTCTCTGCTGCACAGATCAAACAGAGCTTGACAGATCTGAACGGAGGGCGGTTATTAGCATTAGCACACACTCCTGGCGGGCTGTCGCCAGAGACCAGATCAGATGCTGAGCCCTATACATTCTAATGCTACAATATGCAGATCACGCTCTTCATATACAATAAATACTGAGAGAGAAAAGCACAGCTGCTTACATGGTCCTAACGAATGGGAATGTGTGATGCATTCCTGCTCTGAAAATACAATTTGCCATCTTTTTTTCATCTAATACCAGTGTTGTCATGGTCGATTTGGGTCTAGGTAACAGTAATTCCCTTTATGGAACAAGGCTAAATAATATTCTGCTGCTGCCTCATTGATTTTGTCTCTCTTTTTCATTTTATCGTAGTTGAGCACCCTGACAAGATGGCCAATGACCAAGGTAAGCAGACTTTCTAAATGTTTTAAAGGAAAAGTTTGGCTGAAAAAAGCCAATTTACATAGTTTAGATATTTATGTAGTTACCCCAAATGTAGTTGATCAGCTAAGGCATGTTTGGCATTTGCAGTTTGCTTCTTTAGTCTTGTAATTAAACAGATTTCTAACATTATATGACATTTTGTTATCTATAATATAAAAGTCATTATACATTAGACTGTTAAAGTAGATGTGTTATAATGCACTATAACAGCACTCATTTTAACACATTTTCCTAGTTTGACCCTTCAACCCATCTGTAGTAGTGCAGGCTGAAGTTGCAACATGCTATATGTTGCTAGAATCTGTGATTGTAGCTCTCTCATGCAATGGCTTTTAAAGCAACTCTTCCCCATCCTACACTGGACAGTGCTAGTAGTAGAACTACAGATAAACAAACATAAGGAACAGCAAAGTGGAAACCTTAATTTCTGCCAAGAATCCATGAGCTGTTTGAACGAGAGGCTGCAATCACAGAGGAGTTTAAGCGATGGCTGTATAGATGATATATAGGATGCACTCATTGATTGAGACGTGCAGCCACTGTTGCTCTCACTGGAAGTCAATGTTGAAAGTTGGAAGAATAAGTCTGACTTCTGGAAGGCCTGAATTAATAAGGTTGCATAACACCTGCTTACGCCTTTCAAGACAATTGACACAAACCTGCCATAGACATTAACAACGTGTCGGTTGTCACAACACTTAATTTGGTTAAAAATGGACAAAAGCAGCCTGATGCTGGTTGGAATAAGCCTTTAGAAGTGTTTATGTGAGTTTATTGTAGATGTCATAAAATGCTTATATAGTCTAAAGGCTTATATAGTAACTTTTACCAATCATTTTAATACTTTGACTTTGATAGTATTTTATAATACTATAATAAAAACTATGTACAAAATGACATTAAATATCTAAAACATAATTAGTAGCAATTGTGAAGCCTGAACTGTGTCCATACATTTTTATAGACTGTGGAGAAGTGTGTGTTAATTTAGATATGCAGTTTGCACAATGCTAATTGATGCTGTATTAGCTTCCATTATTCAACTACATTAGCCTAGTAGCTCATGTGTAAAAATAAAGATGCAAACTTAAGACAACAAACATGTCTTGCCAGATGGACTGCATTTGGGGTAAGGCATGTTTATTTGGATTTAGTGTAATAAAGTGACACCTCTTTAATGTCTGTTCAAATTTATGAGATGTCACAAAAAGTAAATATTATGATATGTTGTGTATCGTGAAAATTTCTTAAGGTTTTGTTATATTGAGTTTTTGCTCCAACACCCACAATTTGGGAGACTATAATTTTGATCACCAGCAATGCCACAGCCATCCATGGCTGGGAGGATGGTCCATCCCACACTAGCTAATGCGAGGGTTTGTTAGCTAATGTAACAGAATTAGCAGTTAGTGTTCTCCTCCAAGCGTGTTGAATCCAATGAGCAGCAGCTTTATGCCTTGGGGTATCTTGGAGGAAGCAGCTTGGTAGCAAGACAGCCAGTTTAGTTATTTATTTACTTACTTTTATAAATGAAAAGGATTATTGTTTTACAACAGAGTCGATCTGCCTTTATTGTAGAGATTTCAGGCATTTTCTCCCTTGCACTCTTTCTCTTGCACAGACTCTCTTGCTGTCTTCCGCTCAGGGGTGTCAAACTCAACCTGTGAAAGTGCCATATTAAAAAATCTCATCAAATCTGCAGGCCAGAGGAAAAAGTTTTTATTGCATTTTTAATGAATGTTGTGCTGTATCCCAAACTGACCATTGTTTATTCAAAATATGCAAAAATGTCAACGGTAAAATATAAACACCTGTAGTAGTCCTTGAAATATTACATGGACACTTAAAAATTTTGACCATTTAAAAGTCCCCAGGAGCTCGGTCTTTTAAACCTGCCTATTTGCTTTGAACAGACACCTGGCATCCTTTCTTTACTGCATGTTCATGAAGACTTGGGCTCAATTTCTGAGCTGCTGAGCTGACGTTCAGTGTTTATGTTGGTTGAACTGCAGCTGAAATGCATCTTTTGTGATATGACTGGTGTGGAACTGTGCAGCATTGTGTAGAATTGAGGTGTAACTGCTGTCCCATAGATTGTTGTTGGGGTAAGAGAGTTAGAGCACATTATGTTGAAGGGCATGTTGAGGACTGTAGTGCAGTGCATTGTGAAATGGATTAATATTAATAGAAAAGTTAAATACTTTTGCAGGCCAGATAAGAGTGTGTGTTGGGCCTAAACTGGCCTGCGGGCCTTGCGTTTGACACATGGGCCCTAAATGAAACCATGGATGATGAGAATGATATAGAACTGAGTCGGAGCTGGTTAAAAAATATTCTGTCCTACAGCCTCCGAAGCTCAGGCCAGGCGACGCACCTGGTGATGCAACAGTAGATTGCCACTAGAATTTAGGATGAAGTTGATATCACTTTGTGCAAACATGAAGCCGAAGAGCGTTTAGCCTTTGGAATGTTCATGAATGAATCTTTAAGTGTAGATAATTGCCATTTGGGAAAAGAACAGTTTTGAAATCTGAGTTGGTTGAACTGTCTTTTGAGAGCTTACATTGATTTAAAGGGGAAAAAATAGCAGGGATAATGATGTGTGTGTGTATGTGTGTGTGTGTGTATGTGTGTGTGTGTGTGTGTGTGTGTGTGTGTGTCACTCCCATGTCTGGTCTCGTCACAGGCTGACTAATGAGAGTTCATTTAGGGTCCTGTTTTAATTAAGACTGGAGCCCAGAACAGAAGACTCTTCTGTTGCTTTTAATTGACGTCTTGTGCAAATAACTCAGAGAGAGAGAGAGCGAGAGAGAGATGGAGAGAGAGAGAGAGAGAGAAATGGAGAGGGAGAGAGATGGAGAGAGAGTACAAAGTGCTTTAGCCTTGAGAGTTTAATAACAGAATTAAAGCACCTGCTCGTTGACTTCTGAGCAACGCCAGACCCGTTTAGCCTGCTAAATTCAAACATTTTAACAATCGCAGAACTGCTTTTAATATAATTAACCATCTGGGGAGGCATTTAATTACACATTTGAGCCGAGCTGTACCTAACGCATCCGTCTGTCAGAGAAACAATTCCCCGCCGGCCTCGGAGAAGGGCAAACGCTTGAGCAAAACGTCGCTGACCTCAACATCTGTCACCCAGCCAGGAATCATTTCTTTCTTTTTTTCGGGTTAAAATGGCCCGCGAGCAGAGCGATTTTTCTTAAAAATAAAGTGTGCATTAGTCTTAGCGAAGCTCTGCGGAGTTTCTGAATGTCACACAGGCTCGCAGTCACAAGATCAATGCGCAGACACTGACGTGGTAAATGCGGTCAGTGCCACTGCTGTGGCTACTCAACTTTACCGTGACAAACAACATCATTTGGGCTTACACACACACACACACACACACACACACACACACACACACACACACACACAGACATACACACACACAGACATACACAAGATACATTTTTTCTTCTTACTACTTATTACACAAGTGTTACATTCTTAATACTAATAGTTACATGTATATTACATATGCGACCTTTCATTATTATATAAATATACTATATATATATATATATATATATACATACATATATCACGTGTATGAGAATACTGTACTGCCTGAATGTACTGACAAGGTATAAAAACAGGCATGATGTGTGTGTTGACCACTGGCTAAATGAGCTGTTGTCACAGTGAAAGCCTCAGTGCTCCACTACATATACATCAACTGAAAATGTGCCTCAGGAGGCAGCGGTGAAGCGGCCCGGCCGCAGATCGATTTGTGGACGTTTCGGGAGCTGCTCCGGGGACAAGCAAAGTCCAGGGCCCACTGCAGCTCACACACACACTCATACACACAGTCACATACACCCGCACGTGCATGCACATGTCTCTAGAGTGGATGTCACTCTGAGTAAAGTCATCGGGGCTGATTGATTGATGGCTTGTTGTTTATGCTCTCTGTTCTGTTTGAGTTCGAATCAAAACGCGTCGGCCCACGCTCCGACTAATGTGACTCATTCTTCACCTTCATCAACTGCCTCTGTCTTGCGCTGCTTCATGCCATCATTCTCCCATTCTGTTCTGTACATGAAGGAAAGCAGCGGCAGGGGAATTCTTCCTTCTTCTTCATGTGGCCTTGACAACCTTCGCAAGTCTGGAGTTATTATTGTCATTTTGTTATGCTAGTAAATATAGTTACATAATTACATACGTAATGAATTACATTTACATTCTGTTGACATTCTTTATTGGAAAAGTTTGCACTTGACTTCTTTCAGTTTATTTACACGTTGAGAAAAACATGGGAAAAATGGAAAGAATGGTTTTCTTTCAGGAAATCAAGAATGTACGCAGAACAATCGCTTCTCACCAAATACAAATCAATAAAATCTCCTCTTCTATTACAAACTCAAATGTGGTGTAGAATTTCTCTGCTTGTTTCAGTGAGCTCTTGGTTGAGGTTGGCTACCTGACTCAAGCTTGACAGAGCCCTAAAGATTATCAGGTTTCGGGCCAGGTTCGGGCCGATTTGTCTCATAGAGCGATGAGGCCTGGGTTTATTTTCTAATGGGTTATTTTTTATGTAGTAGTTCTCAGGAAAAAGAATGTACCCATGTAAACTTTGCACAATCTTGTGCACTCTCTATCTTGCATGCTGTCTTTCTCTATCGAATAGTCTAGCTTGTGTATAACAACTTTATTTCATGAATGAAACAAAAAGAAAGCTTGCTAAGGGGACCTTTTTTAAAATTCCAAATGAATCAGGGATGTCTTTAAAGTAGAAACATTATGACCTGGTCATTACATTAGATGAAAGCACTGTCATATACAGTATACAGCTTGCAATAGTATTTTGAGCTCTGATAACAGGAGGAACATGAAACCATGTCTGTGACAATCGGTCTCTCTTGGTGCATTTAAGCAGGTTCAGATCAGGTCTGGGCATCAGATTTAGCTGTGCCAGTCAGGCCTGGTTGAGTCAGGTCACAAACTTGTGGCTTCTGGTCAGGGCTGGGTTTCAGATTTGCTGTACTAGTCATGCCTGGTTGGATCAGGTCTTACAGTGCGATTCAGGCCAGGATTGGGCTTCAGATTTTCAGTACTATTCAGGCCTGGTTGGATCAGTACTTAAAATTGCAATTCAAGTCAGGATTGGGCTTCAGATTTGTAGTACCAGATGTGTCTGGTTGGATCAGGTCTTGCACTGCAGTTCAGGTCCGGATTGGGCTTCAGATTTATAATACCGGTCATGCCTGGTTTGATCAGTCTTGCATTGCAGTTCAGGTCAGGATTGGGCTTCAAATTTAGCAGTGTTAGTCAGGCCTGGTTGGATCAGTACTCAAAATTGCAGTTCAAGTCGGGATTGGGCTTCAGATTTGCTGTACTAGTCGTGCCTGGTTAGATCAAGTTTCAAATTGCAGTTCAGGTCAGGATTGGGCTTCAAATTTAGCAGTACTAGTCGGGCAAGGTCAGGTCAGGTCTCAAAATTAGTCCCAGTCAGGCCTGAATGAGTTGAGTCTCGAAATTGCAGCTTCGGGTCAGGATGGGGCTTCAAATGTTGTAGTACCAGTAAGGCTTGGTTGGGTTGAGTCTCAGAGTTGTGAGTTTGGTTCGGGATTGGCCTTCAAATTTAGCAGTACCAGTTGCACCTCATTGGTTCAGGTCTTAAAGTTGTGGATTCGCAACACTGCTGCAGCCTGGTCATTCAGGTCTCAAAGTTGTGGGTTCAGGTCAGGGTTGGTTTTTCAAACTTAACATTACCGGTTGGGTTGGGTGTCAAAATCGTGGGTTCAGGTCAGGTTTGGCTTTCAAACTTAACATTACCAGTTGGGCCTGGTTGGGTTGGGTCTCAAAGTTGTGGGTTCAGGCTTCAAATGCAGCAGTACCAGTCAGGCCTGGTTGAGTCAGGTCTCAAAGTTGTAGATTTGGGTCTGGTTCGGGCTTCAAATGCATCAGTAGCAGTCAGGCCTGGTCAGGTCTCAAGGTTCAGGTTCAGGACAGCATTGGGTTTCAAATGTAGCAGTACCAGTCAGTCCTGGTTGGGTCAGAACTCAGAGCTGCAGTTAGGGGTTGGGTTTGGTCTTCAAATTCATGACTATGCAGACCTCTATTGAGCTATAAGTGCTAAATAATTGGGTTGGGTTGAGTCTCACAATTGCAGCTTCAGGTCAGGAATGGGTTTCAAATTCAGCAGTACCAGTCAGGCCAGGTCAGGTTGGGTCTCAGAGTTGCGAGTTTGGTTCGGGATTGGCCTTCAAATTTAGCAGTACCAGTTGCACCTCATTGGTTCAGGTCTTAAAGTTGGGGATTCACAACACCGCTGCAGCCTGGTCATTCAGGTCTCAAAGTTGTGGGTTCAGGTCAGGGTTGATTTTTCAAACTTAACATTACCGGTTGGGCCTGGTTGGGTTGGGTGTCAAAATCGTGGGTTCAGGTCAGGTTTGGCTTTCAAACTGAACATTACCAGTTGGGCCTGGTTGAGTCAGGTCTCAAAGTTGTAGATTTGGGCCTAGTTCGGGCTTCAAATGCAGCAGTACCAGTCAGGCCTGGTCAGGTCTCAAGGTTCAGGTTCAGGACAGCATTGGGTTTCAAATGTAGCAGTACTTGTAAAGAGTTGAAAGGAGAAAGCTGTATAATGCAGAGGTCTCTCAGCCTGTCAAGGAAATGGAAAATACATGCATGTAAAGGTTTGTAGATATCACAGATATTTTTGCTGATCTTACTGCTCTTCAGCTAAGTCTGTCACATTTAGCTTTAGACAACACTCATGTCTTTTGTGCTGAACATTGCTGGTAAATGCTGAAATATCACACTGTAACTGCACACACACACACAATCACAACTGCATGGAGAGAAGTGCTCTTCAGCAAAAGTAGGGCATCAGTGGAATGTTGGAAAACACAAGAGAAATGCTTAAAAATATTCTAGCCTTTCATTCTGTTCCTGTTTGCGTGGTTGTGTTGTGAGCTTTGGTATATTTTTAGGCCAAAAATGTCCCGACTATGAAGAAAAAAACATTTTTATTGTACATAGCTACTTAGATATACAGTACTGTGCTACAGGCAGAGTATATATATATATATATATATATATAGACTCTAAAAATGTGCAACAAAAAATGTTTGTGTGTTTGTGTGTGTGTGTGTGTGTCCTCCCTCTATGAGCCCTTTACTCACACCTGGTCATTGTGCCTGCAGGTCGTCATGGAGACAGCGGCTACTGGCCCTCTGACAATAACCTGATTGACAGGAGCAGTCTGAACGGTAAGCGCTGAAACACCCTCATCATTTCCCACAATGCACTAGGAGAAACCTTTACATGAGAGCACTCTTCTGGAGTGCTAATGTCACATGACAGAAGAACAGAATGAATGTTTTTTTTTTTTTCTGCTTTGCTTGTCATCTGCTGGTTTGCTGCTGTTGTGGAAATCCTGCTCAGAAGCTGATGTGTTTTGGATGGGCGCAACGTTTCAGAAGTAGATGAGGGTTCTGTTTATCTTTGTATACATTTTTTTCACAGTGTAAGCTGTATCCACTATGTTTTCATATTATGTACTTTTTACTTTCACTGTTTACCTTCCTATATGCCTGGGTTTTAGCTAGCAAAGTATTGTCATTCTTCTGCCAATGTCACAGAAAAGCTTTTTTATCAACATTGCTCGAGGTAACATACAGATATATATGTATATATTGTGAGTATGATGAGGAGAATACCAGCTTCAGCAACTTCAGCCGTGCTACAGTAGCTGGTAGTTTATATATACCCCTCCCTTGTCATTGTTCTTACCTGTATTTTGTCCTCCATGTGATCATTGTTCTCAGCTGTTCCTTGTTCTGCATCTGTGCAGCTCGTAACTTGGAAGTTCTTCCTACTCCAACCAGGAAAACATCCTATATATATGGGAACATATATATATATATATATATATATATATATATATATATATATATATATATATATATATTCAACCCCAAGCAAAGATGGGCAGAGGTTCACCAATCTGCAAAAAACTGTCTAAAAATTGTGGAACAGTTTCCAAAAAATGTTCAACGTAAAGTTGTGAAGACTTTGATTGTTCCACCATCTTTAGTGCAATCATTGTCTGTGAACACAGTTTGCTGTGCAATCCACAAATGCAAGTTAAAGCTGTGTCATGCAAAAAAGAAGTCATATGTCAACTCGATCCAGAAACGCCACCGTCTTCTCTGGGCCAAAGCTCTTTTAAAATGGCATACTTATAGTATAGTATACTTACATAGATGAGCCATATTAGCCATATTATTAATAGAATAGTATATTATTAATTGATATAGATACTTCCACATAAACAGGCTGAGCATCTTCAAAGCATCAACAGTTGACCATCAAAATAAAGTGACATTGGCCACTGCTTGTCTAGTTTAGTGGTGGCGTATTGCACCAAAGTTGGCTGCTTTTCATATCAAGCCCGACACAGATTATAAGATGAAGATGAGAAGATATTAGAGGGTCCTTTGGGTCCTGTTTTATCCTGAAGATCAAACAGGGACAGGTTTTTATTTTGGGTTAGACCTGTCTTGTGAATGTAAGTGTGGGAGGATGAGTATAGAGAAAGAGGCAGAGACAGACATTTAGACTTCTGCATGGTCAGATCTGTCAGCTAAATTTTGTGCAGCATCCTCCATATGCATCATATCTCCCTTCGGGCCATGCACACATGTGGTGGTTGTCATAGTAACGCCATATTACAAAACAGAAGGCTTCAGGATCATCTCTAAGCATTTCACATAAGCAAAAAACCAGAACAAATCAACCTGCACATTCCTTTGTTGGGTTGACGTTTGGAAAAAAATTCTGTACAGGGCCATTCAAACGTTTAGATGTACCATGTTTTTTTTTATTAGTCTTACAGACATTTTAAATGTAGAGGCTTAAGCTCACATGCTTGAAATGTGTTTCTAAGATACATTATCTAGATGTTATCACAGTCTCCCCCGGAAGCTTTTTCCTGTCTTATTCATTTCGTCTTCCAAGCTCCATCTCCTTGTCATTGGTTTTACCTGTGTTTTGTCTGTAACTGCTCTTCATAATCATCATTCCCAGCTGTCCCTTGTTCTACGTCTGATTAAAGCTTGGAACTTGGAAGTTCCCACTCTGACTAGGAAAAATTCCTATGATGTCATATCAACTCAGCTGCTCACACTGTCAACAGTAATAAAGTACTACAGTTAAACCCACAACATTTACCATAAAATTTGCTGTTTTGAGAAGGCACAGACTAGTGTTTTAGTCAAGACTGCTAGAGCCGAGTCTGAGTCAAGGCCGAGAAACATTGAGTCCGAGTCAAGACTGTTAGAGGTTGAATCTGACATACAGTAGTGGATACGTAGCGCTGGGCTTCACCTGTGTGGGATCTGAAAGGGATTAACTACAGCTCTGTGCTGTTTGCTTGGAAGTCTTTAAACTTTACACTGTACTTGTAGACTAAACAAAGTGAATAGATATCTAAACCTGTCGAATTGAACCAGAACTCTGCAGCTTTACTCTCTTCAGCTTGACTTCCAGCACTCGGTAGCTGCCAAAACAGCCCTCTCATTAGGAAAGTCAGCAAAAGACGATTTTACCCCTTGAATCCACAGAAGCTTTTGTGGTCATTTACGTGGGATGTGAGTTGCAAACATTTGAGAACCACTGATGCCAAGAAATGACTGTTTATTCTGGTTTTGTTGAAACTCAATAATAATTCAGCTTCCAATTACCTCAAATGGAGGCATCACACTTGGCTGGTCTCAACAGTAATTTCTGAGTCCACCTTATCCTGAGACTGAAGCAAGACAGCAGAGTCCAAACGAGGTTGAGATCGAGATGAGAAAGAGGCTGCTAGTTTATAATCTTGAGACTGAGACCGGACTCAAGTACTACAATACTAGTAAATACGTCATGAAGGTTAAAGTCAACACTCACATCACATATCATTAAAGTTGGCTGGCTAGCTTGTTGCTAACTTAGCATGACTCATTTCCGAGTTCCTCAGTCCTGAAAAGTGTCTCAGGTGGTTCATCACGAATGATCAAGATTCAATGAAACTGCATCGAGGCAGTGGGGGGCTACTTTGAAACATCTAAAATAGTAGACAGATTTTGGTTACAGTGTTTATTTTGCTATTTCATAGTTTTTTTGGCTCTGTTATTCTATACTCTCAGAACAAATGGTGCAAAACAGTCACTTGGGTGGTATACCATCATTTCACTCACCCTCAAGAATGTCTTCAAGCTGTCATGCCTTTAATTTAAATGTAAGTACAACAGAGCTGATTGGCTGCCCTGTAATGTGCCTCATTCAAAAAGCAGTTCAGGCTGAAACACTCCTTATAACTTCAGTGTAAATGGGCGGGGGTAAACTACTGTAGGCTGAATAGGTGGATATGACATCACAGAAACAGTCCAAATGCAGTTCAAACGCAGTGTAGCATATTTGGCCTGTATGTACTGGGAAGTGAATGGAACTTTAGCAGTGCTTACAAAATACATCAAAGTCTTATTTAAAAAAAAAAGAGGAAAATTTGTGTTTTTCCATTATTTGGGCCCATTAAGGGACACAATTAGACCTTAAGACCATTGAGGGTACATTTACACTGTTAGTACCTTGATGAACTGCGACGTCCCTGCACAGAACATCTTTATCTGACAGGGCAAAGTGAGGGAAAGAGTAATAAAACCCATTTTAACAATGTGCATCCAAACTCTTGATGAGTACTTCTCTGTGATGTTCCCTCTTCCTTCCTGCATGCTCTCCAAAGGTGCATAATAATTGAATAACTTGTTTTGAAATTTGAAAAAGAAAAACAGAAATAATAGTGTTTTGGAAAGGATTTCACTGTAGGGGTGCTGTTACCCTCTAATGAGTTTTCTCCAAGTCTGTGGGAGAGCACCGGTACTTTCATTAATATTCATGTGGCACAGGCTGCCCCGCCCCTTGGCAAGTATTTTTATTTTGACACATGAAGCTTTGATTAAAGGAGAATTTCACTGCTTTTCCAAAATGTCTGGATAATTCCATGATTACGGTGTAAACAATGTCACTTGAGTGGTTTGATGTGCAAAGCGCCATTCCAGAGAAACTTGCAGAGTCAGAACTGTTCACAATGGGTGGCGATAGGAACCAGACGTCCACCTTTAAAAGCTCCCTTTACAGAAAGTTATTGCATAAAATAGTTATAAATACACAGTTTGACAGCTGAGATTGTTTATGGCAGTTTTGTGCGAAGGTTTTCACCCAAAATAAAGAGGCACATGCAGAACAGATAGCGATTAGCATTTTGCAAGAATGTCCTAATCAAACAAAGTGTTAAAGGAATAGTTTCCTTTAAAAAAAAAACAAAAGTGAATAAATATTTATTATTATTATTTTTTTTTGTTCTACTTTGTTCTTTTGTTCTACTTACCCTGAATGTTGTCAGTCAGACCGAGACATGTTTGATGTCTGAGGACTTTCTTCTGGCGCTGAGGCTAATGTTTAGCCTAAAGCTTTTAGCCACCAGTTAGCAATGTGCAAAATGCAAGACTGAATCTCCACATTGACTGAAACCATGTTAAGTTGTAAAAAATAAATCTCGAATATTCTTGCTTATGTGGTTGAATAACTCAGGAACGAAAGAACAGACAAAATTCAGATATGGCTAAAAACAAGCTGCTACCGTTTTTAGCTTAGCAAGATACTTTTGTCCACATTTGTAGATAACCATCATACAGAGTCAGTAACCACATCAGGAGGACTATTTCAGATTACTAAACAACTCCACATGGATTGAGACATGGTGATTGTGGTATGCCGTTAGCAGGATGCTAATTGCTGTCATATTAGCTTCTACTAGCCTACATAGCTACAGAAAGAAGCAAACTTCAGGCACCAAACATGTCTTGGCTATCTGACTGCTTTTTGACTAAGAGGGGAAAACTGTGTTTTGATTTTTTTGAAGTTTGAAGTTTAGCTGAAGTGTTGCTTTAAGATGGAGATAAAAGGCTAAGCGAGGCCTTTAATGCCACTTTAAAATCTGAAGGTCTACACTTGATCAGCAGCATCCTTCACCGTTATCTCTTCATGAGAGAAACTTTGCTTTAAAGAATCTGAGGAGGGTTTCACTGCAGGGGGTCCGCTGCCCTCTGTATACACACGTGAGTGTTTTCGTGTGTGTGTGTGTAAGTGTGTGTTGTGTGCTCTGTGGGGAAATCTCTTAATTAAGACTGAACAGGATAATCACAGGCTGCAGTACATACACACACAT